GGGGGGGGGGGGGTACAATTGGCACGTGTGTGGCCTCTAGCCTCCGAGTAACTATTTCTTCATTATCCCCCCTCGAAAGAAAAACCTGACAGATTCATATCGTCTATTCCCTGTTTCATATATCCTAAAGTCGAACAGTCCTGGTCCTTGTTCACTGATTTTTTTTTTACTTTGTGCCCCCTCCCCCTCTTAGCAACACTCTGGATCAGCCAGTAATTAACAAAAGTAAATTTGATTGAAAAATTCCTATACCAAATAGAGAATAATTATTCATAGTGAATTAACCTGTACATGTATATTCTTACAGGTGCTAAAATGATGATCAAGTATTTAGACGAATTTGGGGACAGGAATACTTATGTAAGCTCCATTTCGTATATGTTAGATACATATGAAAAGTATAACGGCGCCCCGCTTTCTAAGGGAGAAAAGGGAGGGAAATATTTCGGTATCTTCAAGAACGTCCCTCTTCCACCAGATACGGAACAAAAATACCATACAATTGACTTCAGAAATATTGACCAGGCGGACCTCATTAATTATGATACGACATATCACGTGTTACCAAGACCAGAATTGCTGAAGTTATGGCTTGGCCAAAATACGGCAAAATCGCTCGTCTTGTTGGAAAAGGGAAAGTTAGCTGGATATGGATCAATTAGACCTGCTATAAACGGTTTTTACCTTGGACCCCTCTATGCAGAAAACACAGTCGGAACCATGGTTCTCCTCAAGAGTCTGATAAACCTCATTCCACGAGATTCCAACGTCGATTTTTTTCTGCCACATGCGAACGAGGCGGGCAGAGAGATTCTGAAGGCCAACGAAAACACCGTAGGGTTGTACGCCACTTTTCACAAGTTTGCTACGAAGAGTTATATACCAGTGCCAAAGTGGAATAATGTATTTGCATTACTCTCCATCGAGTGTGGATTTTGCTAAGACTATACATTATTCTGGTTAGTTGTATCATTTACATTGGTTTATGACCCAAAATGAATTAGGTGTATAATGGCACGGTAGCTTATTTATTGTACATTATTAATTTTTAAATAATTAAACATCTTTGTTATTTTTCTTAATATTCAAATTCATAGTAAGAACACTAAGTTAGGCCTATATACTGGTAAGTAGTTGGCATAGCGCTGTTCCTGCATGGGCGTTGTTCGATGGACTTGCGGTGATCGCGTAAACGCATTTTTCTATAAAAAGAGGAAGCCGGTCAAACATTGAAGAAATCAGGTGGATGGCATTTGCCTGCTGAACGGGATTGATTTCTTTGGTGTCCCAAACTGCTTGTGTCTAGCTTCAACGATTTTAATTGCTTCAAATGGATTGAATTAAACTTGGTTGTTTCAAGGGCATTTGCATGTCAGTTATATGTTGACTCATTTTTCACAACCACAGTACACAACCTGCATGTATTCTGAACTTTTTATTTATTTAGTTATTTATTTGCCAAATTGCTCCTTTACAAATAAAAGAAGCTCGATATGACCTTTCATTTCGAGGCTATTATATGGGGCGAGTAATGCCAAGTTATGGAATAGATGCGAATATCCATGCTTGCGCTCGGTCGCTATTCGCGATGCTTTCGAGTTACGGAGCCCATGTATTTTTTTAGGAAAAAAACGCATTATACAAATTGTGATATTATAAACAGTGCAAAAACCAATGGCAAATCTGAGCATACGGGTCTGCAATAAGGAAATTGAACATAAATTCGTGTCTGCGCGCTATGTCCTGGTCAGTATTACTATTTTTAGCCATTGACTCCAGACTCAGAGAGGAGCAAGCAGGTTTCCGGAAAGGGAAGGGATGCATTGACAGGGGATGCTTCGCCCTGCCCAACATCATCGAGCAGTGCCTGGAGTGGAACACACCTCTATACATCAACTTTGTCGACTTCAAGAAAGCCTTTGACAGTGTGCACCGGGAGACATTGTGGAAAATACTGCTGTCATATGGTGTACCACCTAAGATCATCACTCTAAACGGCATGTTCTACAACCACTTCCAATGTAGTGTTATCCTGGACAATACCCTGACGGAGTGATTCCCAGTGGATTCAGATGTACGTCAAGGCTGTATCTTGTCTCCAATTCTCTTCCTTGTAACCATCGACTGGATCATGAGGAAGACAACATCCGACAAACCCAGAGGCATCCAGTGGACTCTCCTATCCCAGCTAGAAGACCTTGACTTTGCCGATGACCTTGCCCTCCTGTCCTCCAAACACAGCCATCTCCAGGAGAAGACTGACCGTCTGAGTAGCTTTGCTGCACAAGCGGGACTTGCTANGGGGGGGGGGGGGGTACAATTGGCACGTGTGTGGCCTCTAGCCTCCGAGTAACTATTTCTTCATTATCCCCCCTCGAAAGAAAAACCTGACAGATTCATATCGTCTATTCCCTGTTTCATATATCCTAAAGTCGAACAGTCCTGGTCCTTGTTCACTGATTTTTTTTTTACTTTGTGCCCCCTCCCCCTCTTAGCAACACTCTGGATCAGCCAGTAATTAACAAAAGTAAATTTGATTGAAAAAAATTCCTATACCAAATGGAGAATAATTATTCATAGTGAATTAACCTGTACATGTATATTCTTACAGGTGCTAAAATGATGATCAAGTATTTAGACGAATTTGGGGACAGGAATACTTATGTAAGCTCCATTTCGTATATGTTAGATACATATGAAAAGTATAACGGCGCCCCGCTTTCTAAGGGAGAAAAGGGAGGGAAATATTTCGGTATCTTCAAGAACGTCCCTCTTCCACCAGATACGGAACAAAAATACCATACAATTGACTTCAGAAATATTGACCAGGCGGACCTCATTAATTATGATACGACATATCACGTGTTACCAAGACCAGAATTGCTGAAGTTATGGCTTGGCCAAAATACGGCTAAATCGCTCGTCTTGTTGGAAAAGGGAAAGATAGCTGGATATGGATCAATTAGACCTGCTATAAACGGTTTTTACCTTGGACCCCTCTATGCAGAAAACACAGTCGGAACCATGGTTCTCCTCAAGAGTCTGATAAACCTCATTCCTCGTGATTCCAACGTCGATTTTTTTCTGCCACATGCGAACGAGGCGGGCAAAGATATTCTGAAGGCCAATGAAAGCACCGTAGGGTTGTACGACACTTTTCACAAATTTGCTACGAAGAGTTATATACCAGTGCCAAAGTGGAATAATGTATTTGCATTACTCTCCATCGAGTGTGGATTGTGCTAAGACTATACATTATTCTGGTTAGTTGTATCATTTACATTGGTTTATGGCCCAAAATGAGTTAAGTGTATAATGGCACGATAGCTTTTTTATTGTACATTATAAATTTTTAAATAATTAAACATCTTTGTTATTTTTCTTAATATTCAAATTCATAGTAAGAACACTAAGTTAGGCCTATATACTGGTAAGTAGTTGGCATAGCGCTGTTCCTGCATGGGCGTTGTTCGATGGCGTTGTTCGTAAACGCATTTTTCTATAAAAAGAGGAAGCCGGTCAAACATCGAAGAAATCAGGTGGATGGCATTTGCCTGCTGAACGGGATTGATTTCTTTGGTGTCCCAGACTCATTTTTCACAACCACAGTACACAACCTGCATGTATTCTGAACTTTTTTATTTATTTATTTAGTTATTTATTTGCCAAATTGCTCCTTTACAAATAAAAGAAGCTCGATATCACCTTTCATTTCGAGGCTATTATATAGGGCGAGTAATGCCAAGTTATGGAATAGATGCGAATATCCATACTTGCGCTCGGTCGCTATTCGCGATGCTTTCGAGTTACGGAGCCCATGTATTTTTTTTAGAAAAAAAAAAACGCATAACACAAATTGTGATATTATAAACAGTGCAAAAACCAATGGCAAATCTGAGCATACGGGCCTGCAATAAGGAAATTGAACATAAATTCGTGTCTTCGCGCTATGCCCTGGTCAGTATTACCATTTTTAGCCAATGACTCCAGACTCGGAGAGGAGCAAGCAGGTTTCCGGAAAGGCAGGGGATGCATTGACCAGATCTTCGCCCTGCACAACATCATCGAGCAGTGCCTGGAGTGGAACACGCCTCTATACATCAACTTTGTCGACTTCAAGAAAGCCTTTGACAGTGTGCACCGGGAGACATTGTGGAAAATACTGCTGTCATATGGTGTACCACCTAAGATCATCACTCTAATCAGCATGTTCTACAACCACTTCCAATGTAGTGTTATCCTGGACAATACCCTGACGGAGTGGTTCCCAGTGGATTCAGGTGTACGTCAAGGCTGTATCTTGTCTCCAATTCTCTTCCTTGTAACCATCGACTGGGTCATGAGGAAGACAACATCCGACAAACTCAGAGGCATCCAGTGAACTCTCCTATCCCAGTTAGAAGACCTTGACTTTGCCGATGACCTTGCCCTCCTGTCCTCCAAACACAGCCATCTCCAGGAGAAGACTGACCGTCTGAGTAGCTTTGCTGCACAAGCGGGACTTGCCATCAGCACCACCAAAACCCAGGTCATGTGCATTAACAACAGTACGACAGCACCTATCACCGTCAGTGGGAAACCACTTGAGTCTGTCGACGACTTCACATATCTGGGCAGTCTAATCAGCAAAGACATCAGGGGAAGACTTGGCAAGGCCCAGAGTTCATTCGCTAGAGTCCGCACAATCTGGAAGTCAGAGCAGTACAGCTTACACACCAAAGTCCATCTTTACAACAGCAGTGTGAAATCTGTTCTGCTCTATGGGTCTGAATGCTGGAGAGTTACAAAGTCTGACATAAGCAGAGTAGAGTCCTTCCATAACAGGTGTCTCCGCAGGATCTGCCGCATATTCTGGCCAAATAAGATCTCCAACCATGATCTGTACATACGGACAGGGAGCCAAAGTATTGTAGGGCACATCAAGCGTCGGCGATTTAAATGGCTTGGCCATGTACTTAGGATGGACGAGAACCGAGTACCAAAGGTAGCTTTGAGATGGACACCACCTGGAAAAAGAAAGAGAGGAAGGCCAAAGACCACCCGAACAGTTATGGCAGAGCTGAGGGAGGGGGGACCTTACATGGGGATAGGCCCAGCACGTAGCCAGAGACAGGGCCAAATGGAAAGAAGTGACTGTGGCCTTATGTCCCACACGGGACGAAGAGCATTGATGATGATTGATAAGCCATGACATATTGTATGAAAATATTTAAAGGGCGTGAATCATTTGTGAAAGGAATTATGCTGTTTCATGATAAGCTTTACCTTTTTTTAAAGAAAAAAATGCATTCATTTGAATCCTGTCTGGGTAATTTTGATTTAACATTTGGTGCTAATGTTGACATATAGTAATAATTGTTGTTGATACTGTACATTGAATCTCAGTGAAATTAGCAAAGAGGTTAAGTGTAATTCGTTGGCATGGTGACATTGACCTTGGAGTCGCGAGATTTCGGGTCCAGGAAGGGATTTGGTTTCTATCGTGATTTTGTGGCGCTCAGGGGTCACGTACTTTAGGGTGAAGCCAGCAGTTCTACAGTATGTTGTATATTTTAAAACGCAGGACAAGTATTGCGATCATCATCTTTTTCTATTTTCAAAGTCAAAAAAGCAGTTAAGAGTTTAACTGTGATCCAGTGCCCTCAGGTTCTGTTACCTTTATCACTTTTTTGTAATGCATGTACAATCCAACTAATAGTTGCTAGATTGAATAATTATATTTTATAAAAACTTTGGAAGACTGATTTACTTAACATTCCTAGATAAGTCAGTATCAGCAGTTTAGTTACGTTCACATATAGAATTACCCTCTACAGTCTGGTTACACCGGCATATGGCGTATTATTTGACACAGTTGTTATGTCATTGAAAGATAACGACACAAATGAGGCCGTGTTGCAAACATCAAACCTCCATTCAATTACAAAGAAGCGTCACACTCGACTACCACTATATCATTACACTATAGCAGCCGTTACATCTCCACGACAAAAAGTTAAGCTTTTGTTCCAAACAAAGGCCTTCCTGGAAGAATATATAGCAGTAACATGTAATGCAGGTTACAGAAATAACTGTTGTTTGTTTTTCATGAATGATCTAAATATTGGCTACATCAAAAAACAACAAAGTGCGTTTCAAAAAGTAGATGTACGAAAAACGGAGATGAGATGACATCTAAATCATAGCTAGAGCCGTGGAAAATTTTCCTACCCCTTCAAACATTATTAACAATGGGTATCTCGGCCGCTGACCCTTACAAATTCAACCTAAACAAATAGTTAAAGTACCATGAGGATCATTTTGGTGATACCTAGCTTTTACTCTTTTGCTTCTATTAAGGTGATTTCAGTATTGACTTCTGCTAAACTTTTGAACGCTTGCCTAATGCCTCTTTTTTATCATCGTTTGCTTTATTTAAGCATGTGCGTTTCTTTCAAATGTTTCCCTTACGTTGTCCACGTCTTAAATGTGTCGTTAATGTTCAGTGTTTGCGCGCTGTGAAGACAGACATAGATACGATTAATGCTTTCCACCATGGGTGCCTGTGCAGGGGTGTATCCAGGATTATTTGAGGGGGGGGGTCCACGGAGGCTGATCCCCCCCCCAAACTGGCGTGGGGTTCGGGTCCTACTTAAGGGCCCTAAAATTTTGGTAGTTTAGAGGGCGAACGGTGCCAATTGGTACGGTTTAGAACTATGATTCAGTTAGTCAAAATCCTAATGTCAAGAGGGGACCAGAAATCGAAACAGGGGTCTGGACCCCCCCCCCTGCCCCCCCCCCCCTTCTAAATCCGCCACTGCCTGTGGAAGATATACTGCATCTTTTGGCCTCAAAAGATATCCAACGAAGATTTTTATCACAAAGCGGTTTCCAACAACACTGTACGTGAAATAAAATGCCGCCATCTGAGTTTACTTGGCCATGTCCTCAGGATGAAACAGTGAAAAATCCCCCCAAAATCGATCCAGGAGAAGGGTTTGACCTTGGGGCGAGGCGTGTAAAGTAGCTAAAGACAGCACAGAATGGCGTCGTCGTGTAACGGCCCTATTTCCAAACAGGTAAGATTGGGAGAAGTCGAAAGCACAGCATGGGAACAACTTGTAAACAATGTGTAAATTTATACGTCATCTGTGATGTCTTTTTTAGGTCTCGTCGGAAAAATAACAAATCAAAACACATTTTCAGGAAAATATATTGAATACATCTGAATAATAAAACGACAATTAAACCCAATACTCCACGATTGTTCTTGAAACAAATACCATATAGAAGATAGACAATGTTAATGTCAGCTGAAAAGGAACTCTTTTTTGTCCAAAAGTTTGTAATCCAGGATTCAGTACAGTCCAAAGAAACGCGCTGTGGTCGTGTCATTTTGTTCACATGTGAAATGGTAACAGCCCGAAATAAATTCTTCAACCCCTAGTACGCCATTGCCCTCATGGTCAAGTGCTCGGAATTGTTCTTCTGGAAGGATTGTGCTACGAAAGATGATAAAAAGGTTTGCATATTCTTCGGAAGACACTTCTACATTACAATCTGCATCAATGATATAGAACCAGTCCCAACACCACTGAAGTTGAGAAAAAATCATTGTGTGATCGCAACCTGATCCGAAAATTTGGAGAAATTCATCGAAGCTCAAGTTCAATCTTTGGGGAGGAGCCCAGGATTGCCAATCAGCGCTCATCGCTCCGTAAACAGCTTTGGCTCTCCAGGAGGACAGAACCTGACCAGCTCTTTTTGCTGTTTCCTCTACATACTCCCATCTGCTTAGCATCCCATCTTCGTTGGCGTCAAACATTCGAAAATAAACGCGGCATTTCTCTTACATAAGATCAGATATCTTCTTATGTTGATTATCCTATAATATTTAAAGAAAACATCAGCTTTGCTTATTGATTACAATAGTGTCGGCCATAGCGATATTGACATGTATTCAAAGGTCCTTTAGGCCATACGCATACCCAACATGTCTAAGAAAATAAAGAGAATTTCAAAATTTAAAGACACTCTGTGCATTTTAATATGCATCTCTTGGGTGTTTTTGGCCTTCACGCACATTTTCAGCTTGCTTCACACAGGACAATTTCATGTGAAAATACATCAAGTCTGATGGGCCGTTAAAACATATTGATAATACATTTATTAAATTTGACAACTTTACAAGAGACTGAAGTGAAACCCCCCAAATTGTTCCCACTTGTATCTAGAGCTCACACAGAACTCACCCCACGTGTCCTTGGTTCATGACCAGTGGCATTACAGCTGGTAAACAGCAATAGGGTTAACACGAAGGTTGACAGGTGCATGGTATAAATTTCTCCCTTTCTTTCTAAGAACAAGCACGAAAAGTCTTATCATAAATATAGTTATAACGAATCACATTTGGCTATTATTCAACTTTAAAAAAATCCACATCTGATTTGTGGATGATGAGTATTAAACTCGTGCAGATATACATTTTTTCCGACCAACCTTATGTTGAAATGCAATATTTGATTTCTTTATATAACTGTTATTCATAACCTACATGTATTAACCTAAAATTCTACGGTATTGAATTCGAAATAAGTTATGTTACGTTTGTACGTACGAAAAGATATCATGTATCATTAATGTCCTTAAGAAAACTCTGACTTGCCTGGTTTCTTCCTAATTTGATGCCTTGTTACATAATGATCACTCAGAGCGAGTTGCGACATTTATATTGGCAATACGTCATCCAGTAGCTTAATTACGCCGACACCATGAAAAACTACCGGCATATTCATCTATCCAAATATATCTGTTTTACGAGTTTTACTTCATATTTTTTCCTAATAGAACCCTTTCATAATACAGACGTTGCGAGCAGCCCATGGGTGCCCAAGAGGGCTGCATTGTACACTTTTAATTAGGCTAATTCATGCTAAAGGCAAAATTCCACATGGACATAAGTGAATTAAAAATTTTTCAACTAAGAACCAACCTATACAAACTCGTATCATGACGCATCATTATATTTCTCCCCACCAACACCCTTTTTTATACGTGTCGTGTTTATTTTAAGATTACCAATCTGAATTGCAAAAATGCTGCTTCATTGACTAAATTTTAAGGTTTTCTTTTGTGACAGATCAACGTGAAATAAGTTTTAGTCGTCGGTGAATGTATGCAAGTATCAATAAAATGCTCTTCAAAACATTGTCACCAAACATCACTTAAATCACGAATATAAGCAAGGATGCTGAACAAAAATACTCAACGTGCTTTGAACGATAACGAACCCTTTTCAATGTTTTTCATAATCAGATCCCTCGCTGTCCGAAGAAACTTGCAGTGCTGGTATCAGTTTGGTCATAAGAGTAACAGTAACAACCCATGATGAATTCTTCCGAACTTAGGACATCATTGTGATCGTGGTCAAGCGCTCTGAATGGTTTTTCCGGAGGCATTGTGCTACAGAATATGACGAAAAGATCAGCATATTCTTTTTCAGAATAAATCCCCATCACAGTCTGCATCAATGATATGAAGCCAATTCCAGCACCATTCCAACTGGTTGAAAAGTATTGCTAAATCTGAATTTTCGCATTCGACCAATTCGACGAAGCTGTCAATATGCAGTCCCTGTTTCATATCTATCGAGGGAGAAAACAACTTTTGCCAATCGGATCTCATCAGTCCGTACACAGCCTTGGCTCTCCATGAGGACAGAACCTGGCGACTTCTATTTGCTGTTTCTTCCACATACTCCCACCTACCTGTACTAACCGTCCCGTCTCCGTTGACGTCAAGCAGTCGAAAAGATTTACTTGCTTTCTCTTTCCAAAGGGCAAGTACCTGTGCCTTCCCATCCTGATTTCCCTATATATTAAAAGAAACAATAAGGATCATTCACTAGTGAATTGATAATCTCATATTCATTTACATCTACACAGTTGTATACGTTTCGATAGTGTAAACATCCCACATACTTGGACGGGTTTGAATTTAGTTTGGGGCTACACGTATCTTAAATATGTTACCCTTCCAAAATGAATTTCTTTCGATGATTTTTCCCGTACTCACGAACCATTGCAAGATCATTTCCTGCGTGTATGTTAAATTACATGTTTAATTTCACAATATCGTTTTCAATGATTGA